GAACTTTTTTCACAGGAACAAATTTTGGCTCACAAAAGCTCTAAGCTCTGCCATAGATAACAATTCAATTTTACTAAGGTAATTTTTCTTTTATAACTTTCTCGACTGATAAAAGTTTTGATTGGTCCTCGGTCGGAAGATCAAAGCGATTAATCTGATCCTTATAACTCATTTTCAAAATTACGGTAACACAATATAATGCAGAGTCCAAAGTCCAACTCCGATGATTCGTTCGCCCGGAGGTGCACACAACGGTACTCTATACTATAATGGCATGAGTAGATTTTATGTTGTGAGTTGCTATAAGAGTTTGTAAAGTGAACATGAAACCCGATACAAAGTCAGTCTTTTAGAGCAGATAATAAAAAAGCACGTTCACTTACAGTACGTTTAAGAACTATATTCCAGACACACAAGTTTCTATACAGAAAAGTCTAGTATATATGCAGTAATTCTATGTAAGATCAGGAGCGAATTTCAAACCACTTCCATAACTAAAGGGCTATAACTCTCCTTTGACAACATAAGAACGAACTATAAAAATCAGTTGAAAAAGGCTTAACTCATCAGATGGATACAAATAGAAATACATCTAACAAAAACACAGAGTGGACGTGGCCGGGTACATGTTCATCCCAACAACAAAAAGACACTAAGTACAGATCTGAGAGTACTCGCAGTTACTGACAGCTAGTTCAAAGTCAATAATAACTAATAAAAAAAAATCATGCATCTAAGACTTAATTATTAATCATTACACATCCACATATATTCTTCTAAGAGAGGCCTGGGATCAGCCAAGCCCCCCCCCCCCCCCCCCCCCCGCCAAACCCATATAACCCTCCCTGTACTATTTCCTATTGACAAATATTAATATTTTGAATTGAATGGCACATATAATAAAAATGAAACGAATAATCTATAAGCTTTAATATGATCCTTTTGAAATAATAATAATAAGAAATGTGTATACAATAGTGTACACCTCGTGTATTTAATTCATGTCTTTGGCAGAGTTCCGTAGATATACATTGGTAATTGTAATGTCTAGATAGAGATCCGTATTTTTCACTGCTAACTGATGGAAAGGAAGCTATCATTGTGTTTTATTGCTGTGTGACCAAGTATAACATACGCTTGATCATACTCCTCATCACACGTTAGTAGCATTTGAAAATTGTTCTTGTTTTCCATTCCTAGAATGATAAAACAAATTACCATCAAGACAAAAAGTAAATGAAACATCTAGGATGTATTTTCTGTTAAAAAAATTACACATACCCGCTTTAAATAACACACACAATGTACGTACATCCCAATCCAACATTGTACTGCTTGATACTTTAGTCTGGGAAAACATGATTTATTTATTAGTTGTAATTGGCTATATCCAAATAGACATCCCCTTTGACATTTGCATAGATACTTGTATACAAATAGCTTTATTCTATATTTTGGAATAACAGCATTGTAAAGCTAAATTTAACTTTTAGAACACAAAATAATGAAGGGGTGATGATTTCTTTTTATCACCAATACTATCTTACCTTGTATGATCGTGTATATTAAGTTTCAGCATCTATTTCACGTCTTACAAAAAAAGAAGTCTGTTTGTTTACATTTTTTTATCATATTCACTCGAAAAAACGTGGTCACACTAGTAAAAAACCCCGATAAAATCATTCGAAAAAACACGATCCCAGCCGGACTCTATACCCGGGACTCTGTGGTAACTGTAAAAATCCTTGTCGATCATAAATTTCAAAAGATCAGTGTCACGCATGTCTTATTAGCATATATATTTTGGTATAAGCAACTAATTAAATGGTCCTTCTTTATCAACCTATCAGTTGAGTGCTTGCTTTGCTGGTCACTGTAACTGTAGCCTGTCACGGACATGCTCGTACGTGTATGAATCTTAAGCACCGTACCCTGGTGTCTCCTAGCCAGAGCTAATGAACCAATCCAACCAAACCTTGTCCTCCCTTGTATGAATCTTAAGCACCGTACTCTGGTGCCTCCTAACCAGGGCTAATGAACCAATCCAACCAAACCTTGTCCTCCCTTGTATGAATCTTAAGCACCGTACCCTGGTGCCTCTGAGCCAGGGCTAATGAACCAATCCAACCAAACCTTGTCCCCCTTTGTATGAATCTTAAGCACCGTACCCTGGTGCCTCCTTGCCAGGGCTAATGAACCAATCCAACCAAACCTTGTCCTTCTTTGTATGAATCTTAAGCACCGTACCATGGTGCCTCCAAGCCAGGGCTAATGAACCAATCCAACAAAACCTGTTCCTCTCTTGTATGAATCTTAAGCACCGTACCCTGGTGCCTACTATCCAGGGCTAATGAACTTGACCAATTCAGTCAAACCTTTTCCTCCCTTGTATGAATCTTAAGCACCGTACCCTGGTGCCTACTAGCCAGGGCTAATGAACCAATCCAACCAAACCTTTTCCTCCCTTGTATGAATCTTAAGCACCGTACCCTGGTGCCTACTAGCCAGGGCTAATGAACCAATCCACCTAAATCTTTTCCTCCCTTGTATGAATCTTAAGCACCGTACCTCAGTGGTGCCTCCTAGCCAGGGCTAATGAACCAATCCAATCAAACCTTTTCCTCCCTTGTATGAATCTTAAGCACCATACCCTGGTGCCTCCTAGCCAGGGCTAATGAACATATCCAACCAAACCTTGCCCTCACCTGGAGGACACAGTTTTCCAGCAGAAAACTGAACATTTAAAATTGTCTTACATGTTATTGTTATGGATGATTATCGAATGTGTCTGTTCATAGTTGAATAAAATTCAAATATATGCGCGATCAAGCTTCACCCAGAACAGTAACAAGATCAGAACTTGTTGAAGCATTCTAAATTATTTGCATACAAGGTATGAAGCATCCAGGTTTTCTACCTGTTGAAATATAAAGCTCTTTACAAATAGTTTACTCCGTATAGTAATCCCGATGACTCGCATACTGCGACTTTCATCACAATCTAATTAAAATTAAATCCTTTAATTGCTCCCGTTCTGATATGTCGCACATCAAGGCTTGATGCGCGACATAACCTAATTAGTACATCGAAGGTCAGGTCAATTTCGTAACTAATCAACCGTAACATTTACAAGAAGTTTGTACACCTGTGACAAATATCTATTAAAAGTTACCTGTATTCCATTGATTAACTGTATCTGAATATAATAAAGACCTCATTCAGCAAAGATATGTTTCACTGTTTTTTTCCTGTCATTTTTTAAAACTTTTTATTAGCAACCAATTCAGTAGCCAAAAAATTTAATTGGGAAATTAAGAAACAGCCAAAATAAAAACCGCCAAAATTATTCTTATACTTTGTTGGCTCTTAAAGAGCGAAATTTTACACCCGCAAAAAAAAACCCACTATAAGGTAATTCAAAGTTTGGTGACTAAGTTTAAAGCATCTATCCCATCGAACTTGAGATAAAGAATACATACAGATACAGTTAAGTCTGCCTCATATCTTGACTTACATCTAGAAATTGACAATGAGGGTCGGTTGAAAACAAAACTTTACGACAGAAGAGATGATTTCAGCTTCCCAATTGTGAACTTTCCATTTCTATGTAGCAACATTCCAGCAGCGCCTGCATACGCAGTATATATCTCCCAGCTGATACGATATTCCAGGGCTTGTATTTCCTTGATAGAGAGTAGTTGCTCACAAAGAAGTGGCAACTCTAGGGCTGAAATGAATGGATGTAAAAAAAATTTGGACAATTTTTCAACGAAAGAAGTCGAGAATACTTTTCTGCGATTTATCCATCTTGTTTACATAAACTAAATGAAAAACAAACACAGACCGACCACACATACTGGGCTGAAATGATTGGGCGTTATCCTCATATACTCACCCTCGTTACATTCGGAGACCTCCGAGTTTATCTGCTGCGAACACATGCAATTATATATATATTTTTTTTGTATTTTTTTTAGTCAAAATGATACAAGCTACGCCACTGCAAGGAAACTATTAAACCAAGAGTTCCAAGTGGTGAAGTTGAAATCATCCCTTCGTAAATTTTCTTGTTCTTCTTCTTCCATTAATTTGCATTAATTCCACCTCTGGTGTGTTATCGCAAATTTTACTAACACCATCATGAGTTGGTTGACAGTTATGGAATATCTGTTTCTGACACAGATGACGACGAATATGTTCCAATTGTCTTAATCACAACCTTGTTCCCCTTTTTCCCAAATGTGACCAACTGAATTCGACTTATCACCGGGTTTCTTCTTACATGAGCAGCACCAGGGGTGCCACATGTGGAGCAGGATCTGCTTACCCTTCCAGTGCACCTGAGATCACCCCTGATTTTTGGTGGTGTTCATGGTGCTCAGACTTTAGTTTTCTATGTTGTGTTTTGTGTACTGTTGTTTGTCTTTTGGTCTTTATCATTTTCTGCCATGGTGTTGTCAGTATATTTTCGACTTATGAGTTTGAATGTCCCTTTGGTATCTTTCGCCTCTCTTTTTAAGGTATTTTTTAATGATTGTCAAGTGGTCTTGATTTTTAGCAAACTCAATATCTCCTTATAGATGTATTTCCCATGAGCCAATGTTTCAAACTAAAATATGAATGTTTTATTGAAGTTCATAGATACAAAATAAACTTTACAAATTTTAGAAAATTTGAAGTACAATTCATGTGCGGAAAATTTGGCCACAAATCTGACCTTCTCATTTTCATTTCTACCGCTTTCACTGGAGAACAGATTGTTGATGATCATCTGCACACAATATATCAGCTGTAAAGAAAGGTTCCAAGTTACTATGCATGGTTTTCCTTAATAACAGCCTTACACATATTAATTTATTTCTCCTTGACATAGGGTATGGATCCTTGTCCATTAGTTCAAAACATGTTCATTTGTAGATTTGGATTGCTTGTGTTGTCAAGAGCTATATTCTGATTTGATCCCATAAGGGTGTAAGGAAAATATGAAATATAAAACAGGCTATTTTTAAACTTTTATTACATAACAACATAGAAAAATTCTCCTTCTTCCCAGGATATGACATAACCTCACTCATGTTAAATATACAACAAACATGTTTACAATCTGTGTACTGAACCTTGGATCATTGTTAACACTGGTACCAATATACCAGATATCCTACAAAGATCTAAGACTCAGAATATTACATGAAGTAGTTACTATGTAAATACTGCTAAATAGCATAAAGTACAAATACTGTATATTTATATATAATAATACAAAACAATTGTTCAACGATGCTGGTAGTAATCTACAAAAACAAGATAAAAATTTACACAATTCATTCAGGGGAGAATGTTGGTATTTTCTAACAAAATCATTTGGTGTTTATTTTCTGAATGATGCGAGATACATATGTTTTCAAAAATAAAATTCACCTGTGAAGCTTTTTAAATTATTTTATTCATGTAAACCAAGCCTTTTCCAGAAATCGATCTATCTTTGAAATGTTTGGCTCCTAAATGACTAGTTGGACACTTTTATAAACAGACTCAGCAATGAAGAAGATGAGTATTTTGTTATCTCTACCTGAATTAATAACAATTTATAACAGCATTTAGAATTGCCAGATTTTTACTTCCCCATAAATGCTTTAATACCCTCTCATGTTACTTTAAATTTAAGAATGTTATGAGTATCTTTGAACTAAATGATTTGCTTGTAATACATGAAAGATGCCCCACCCTTCCTTTAAAATACTGAGAAAAAGGTAGGTCACTGTGACACTGTCTTGATTGATCAAAATGGTGTATTAAAAAGTCAGAAATGTAATGGTGACTTGCATTTGATTTCTGAAAAGGAACTTAATAAATGCGAAACTTAGAAAAAGTTATATATAAGAAATGGACCTTAACTGAGACAGAATAAAATCAGTGTAATATAAAAGACAAGAATTAATGGATATGCTCTAGAAATATTGGTGAGGACCATACATAGACTACTTAGCTCAGTTGTGATAAAAATATATCAATGGATGTAAATAGGTTGCTGTCTCATTGATATATACACAACATCTCCTTTTAGTCATATTGGTTTATCATTTAAACTTGCATATCTTTCTCAACATTTATAGTATGACATTTATTCAAAACTATGTATTAAACAAACTTAAAATGCCCTTTAAAAATATCTTGAAATATTTAACAGTGCAATCATGTTTCAAACACAGATATTTGTAAAATTTATAAAATGAATGAACTGCATATTTGTAAATATGGCCAGTTGATGACAAAAAGGTGTCTTAATTGTTTAAATGGACAATTATTTCATCATAAATTTAGCACCATAAGAATTTTCTACAATCTTTCAATACTACTATTAAATTATACATGGCTACAATTTCCCTCAGTCTTCCACATGAATAGTAATAAAACAATACAAACGATATTCAATCCCTCCGTTATAAGTAATGTCAACATTTGATTTCTTCGTTATGTCAACATATGTGAGCAATAATTGATAGTAAACAAAATGTGTAAGTTGTAGTGATCTATGTCTAATGTAATATGTAAATCAGGACATCTCCATTGATCCTGAAAGTAAACCTAAGACCACTGTAGATACATATATCTACAAGAATAAGAATGAGACAATGTATTAAAGGCTAGCAAAGAATGTACAAACTGTAAAATGGACAAGAAACAACATAGAACTTTGTTTGCATATATATACATAAATTATTTTTTAACAAAATACCTAAACAAAATATGAAATGTAAAAAATATGTATGCATAAAAGCAATTCTAAACACAACCTAAGAAATATTAAGCCTATGTATTAAAACTTGGGTACAAATTGAATAAAAAATTTGAAAAAGGAAATTTTGAAATAGTCAAACTAAAAAGTTCAAATACAGTTTTCATTTAATTTTTCATAAGACACAATAGTTAAACTTTCAAAAGATTGAAATTTTCTGTTTTCCTTTCAAGTCAAGAAATGTATAAGCACATACATCATAAAATGATGTAATTTATTATGGTTTATTTGTGTACATACATGTGTATCTTTTTGAGTTGACATTTCCTAGTTGAAAAACTAGTTTCTACCCAATAATCTTTGAACAATAATGTGTTTCAGCTTTTAGCTGTCAGAGCTAAAAGATTGTTTACCTATATCTATATATCTTTCATAATCACCTCCTCAAGGTCAGTCAATGGCATATATAATAAGAGATAAAATATTAACACAAAATGCTTTCATAAAGCAATAACAAGGTAAAGAAGCACAGCAATAACAAAAGACATTATTTATCCACAGTGAGGCTATGGGACAACCTGGGCTTCATCGCTATGATTTGATCATAAGTTTGAGATATTGCAATGCATTGTGGGCTGCATGAGCATGAGCATCATAAATATTCTGGCCTGACCCGTGTAGAACAGCTACTGGCAATGTTGATAACTGGACAAGACACTGTCTTAATCCTGAAATGATATCACAAATTATTATCTTAATCTGTAGACAAGGAATAATTGCAAATAAATTCTACCACTCATTGGTATCTTTCAACATTTTGTTACCATCTCTAGATGTTTTGTCTTGTAAATCTTTTGATAATGAAAGACAAAAATTTTTCCCGGAATTTTGTTGGAAAAATGCAAACACCTTGAAATTATGTAATCTGTTTTCCTCAAGTAATATTACAGTTTTAGAAAAATTATGTCGATATATTAAAGCTGTAAATGTGAAAGTCTCTCCTCCTGGTTAATGTATATCATTATTTCACACATGCACTGTATATTATATTATATTGTTGTATATACTTATTGTCTCTATAACTATGTCATTAGTTGATGAGAATAAAATTTATTCATTCATTCATTCAGAAAAATAATTGTTTTATGACTTTTACCTCATGAAAATTAGCAGGACTAACTAAGATGTGCCTATGTAAAATGTTTACTGGTTGTTCTCAAGATAAGTGTTGATACGCACAAGGACACATACAAAAATAGAGAGGGTACTTCAATAGTTCATTTTCTATTTTGTTTATTAAGTTTCTCTCCATCGATTATAGATTTTAAGATAATAGCTAAAAACGCAGAAACATGTCATGGTAAGATTTTCTTTATCTTATATATATGGTTTTCAAGATATCAAACAATTCTTTTACCCCATAAGTTCAATTTATAGACTTGGTGGCAATTTTGGTTTGCAGGCTGGATCATAGAGCAAATGTTTTATCCTACATTACCAAAGGGTGATTATTGCCAAGTTTAGTTTCAATTGGCCAGGTAGTTTCAGAGAAAACGGTTTTTGTAAAAGTGAAAGGACAACAGACAACAACAGACGCCAAATGTGATGGCCATAGCCCACAGTTGCCCTTCTAAGGTGAGCTAAACAAGCATCTTCTTATTTTTGTAAGAATATGTGCAGAAAGTTAAAAGTTTACAGTGTCACAATTATGTGCATTGCACAAGATTATGTCTTCCTGAACTATTTAGGATGGCATGATTTCATACCAGCAGGTAAAGTAACTCTGAATCAATAATTTTGAAACACACTTTGACAAAATTTTGTTTATCATTGTCATGATTGTACTTGGTATTGATGGCAGATATTTGATGACCTCAGTTCAAAGATGATTAGAGCTTGACATATTTTTCTATTGCTGAAGACTTTATTTATCTGTAGTTATCGTTTAATGTTTGTTTGTCATTGAGTTATTGTCCCATGTGCATTTACTTTGGTAACACCACATCTTTTTTTTCTTCCATATTATAAAATTCTCATCTCCATTTACACACCATTCACTTTAATGTGACAACTTTTAATTCTAAATCAAAATACCATATTATGAAATTATACTCAAAGGTTCTAAGAAAAATGAAACAGTTTTTTCCTTCAGAAAATGAGTACCGATAGATTTTTTCTTTTTTTTCCTAAACCTGATGAATTGGGAATGACACTGTTTAGAAAGTTATCTCTTCTTCTATGTCAGTTGGTCTCTGGTGGAGAATTGTCTCATTGGCAATTGTACCACATCTTCTTATTTTTATATATACATTTCAAAAGGATAATAAAAGAATGATACAAACACATTCGCTGTGCAACATAACTGTGTCACAATAAGCCATGTAAATAATATCAAAGGCAGCATTTTATTGTCTGTAATAATTACTTCTTATCTCTTTTTTGAGTGTTAATACTGAAGATATAATCATGAAATAAAAGGTGTTTTGACTTTTTAATTAGGGTCATCTTGACATTACTGTGAGATGCTGGAGTTTTTCATTGATGACCTTATATAGACATTCAAGACTTTGTAATATTGAGCAGTGCTACTAATACACTTGTTTTCTAAAATTTTATTTGACTTTATTGCATGGACATTTATCTCATTGTCCAACTTTCCCAATTTGTAACTAATGTTATGTTCAGTAACCCTTCACTGCCTACCTAATGTTATGTTCAGTAACCCTTCACTGCCTACCTGAATGACTAGTTTCCTCTATATCTAAATAATTAACTTCAAATCGTTGAGCTTCAGCAATCTCCTGTAACATCTGACAGTAGTTTGTTGAAGGGGCAGTGAGCGAAGCATTTTTTATTTTGCCATTTTTCTTGTCAACTTTGGCAATCTTGTTGTAAAACTGTTGTATTTCTTTGTTCTGTTTGGCAGCTGGAATAGGAACACGTTTCTTCCCCTCTTTCAGAGCTGTGTACGACTGCCTGAGTTCAGTGGCACTCTGTAGTAAAAACAACAAACTTGTGAAACAATAGGAACTTAAGAGTACACTTAATAAATATTTAGATATCAATTTTAACACATAAAGCATCATTTACTGGAAAGTACATGTTATGAAGGTGTATTGATCGTGTGTATAAACAAATACAACACCAACATAATTCTATCTTGTATATCATATTCAATATGATAGACAGGATCAATTAATGTTGATGTTAAATAAATTATGAAATGAAAATAATATCATATTTCATTTGATACCACTGAAAGCTATAAATGATGAGCTAATTTCATATAAATACTATGAATAGTAATTTTATTCGTGGATATGCATTTTTCATGAGTATCGCGGATACAAAAAATATATTGATTTCATGGTTTAGTGTACCAATTTTCCAAATAAATTTAGTTCTTCAAAAATGTAAGTGTTTTCTTACAATTTTTTCAACAAGAATTTATCTGATGTTGGAATTCAGATTTGCTATATATTATTTTTTCATTCATGATCTTATTAACTTAAAAGTTTTCAATAGTAGTGTTAATATCTTTCTTCTATGAAAAATAAATGGGTGTCTTCTCATTGCAGAAGAAACTAACAATAGTTGTTGTTCATCAGTTTATAGTTGGGATAGTTGTTGTCTAACTCACAACAATTTGTTCTTCCATAGAAGCAAGAGCAGTGATCTTTTTTAAATTTTTCCCAATATTTTTTTTTCTGATTCACACTTGCTATTATTTACAAAATTGTTAGGTTATAAGATTTACCAGGAGGATGTCGTCTTCCTCCTCCTCCTCTTCAATTACTGCCTGTTCTTCTCCGTCCTGTGTCAATGATCTTATATGAGTCAACATGGCCATAGCAGCTGCCCTTTTAGCTTCCTTCTTAGATCGTCCTGTTCCTAGAGAAATAACATAAACACTATTGTGACTATTATATTTGTAATTAAATATGTTCAAGTTATAGAACATTAGAGTCTTCATAGCTAAAAATAATCAAAGCAAAATGTCATCAAAGGCCATTTTCAAACTCATTTAAACCTATTTCATAAAAATCTATTTCACAAATTTTGTTTCCACTGCATTTTTATAATATTCTTAAATTGCAGCATTCTAGAACTTCTGAACATATGTACTTTTCTTAATCGCCATCACTGCTGTCATGTATGCCACCTGATCAGCTATCATTGCAGAGACTTCTCAAATTATAGTTGTCCCAAAATCTACAATTTTATGCTTGGTTATGGTTTCTTTAATAAAATTCACAACACAAGGATAGAATGTTGAACATCAGTTGTATGAAGTTGAAGTAATTTTCGTCATCATTCTGTTAAAAATTATCAGAGTCATATATAAACACTAGCACACTTTGCAGTTCTCAAAATTCTAAGAAAAAATGGGTCAAAGTCTCAAATTGCTGGGTTGCTGAAAAATGATAAAGTTCCAGAGTCTGTAAAAATGAAAAAAAAATTCCTTAAGCAATTCCATAATAGCAAGTGAACAACTTTAACATATGTGTAATCTTCCTGTGAAGTTTCAGTGATCTGGGTTGAAAACTGTAGGCTTGATTTGATTACACAAATATTGTACACTCTTTCATAAATTTTGCTGAAAAAAGGTTAGGAGTATTGTCACCTTCAAACATGTTTAACTCCGCCACATTCTGTATGTGCCCCTCCCAAGTCAGGAGCCTGTAATTCAGTGGTTGTCGACTGTTGTTGTATATCATATTTTTTTTTTTCGTTCATTGTTTTGTACATTAAACAGGCCGTTAGTTTTACATTTGTTACATTTGTTATTTCGGGGTCCTTTATAGCTAACTATGCAGTATGGGTTTTGCTCATTGTTGAAGAACGTACAGTGACCTATACATGTTAACTTGTATGTCATTTGGTCACTGGTGGAGAGTTGTCTCATTGGCAATCATACCACATCTTATTTTTATATAAGTTCCCTAGTCTGGAAAAATGAGAAAAAAATTCACAAACAATCCTATAATAGTAAGTGCACAACTTAAACATATGTGCAATCTTCATGTGATACTTCTGACAAACAAGATTCCAATATTGCAGAGACTAGAAAAATTTCAATCAAAACATTCCTCACTAGGTAAAGAACCACAGATAGATCTGAACACAGACATTTTTTTCTGACCAGAAAGGGTGCCTGTATAAATAATGCATTCAATTGATTTCTTATTTTATATGGAAACCCATTCTTCAAATCTGCTGGAAAAAAACTGTCAAAAAGGCCATTACTAACAAATATGGCATTTAAAGAGGCATCTAGGTAAGTTCTTTGAATATTCCCAAAAAGTGTGCACCTTGTACTGAATTTCAATCAACTTCTTCCACAAGCATAAATTGATGATGAAATACTATCATAATTTCTTATCACCTGTTTAAAATGATATTTTGCCTTTTTATTTACATAAATAAAGAGTACTAGTCTAGACATCATTGAGATGGGAGCCATCTCTGTGGGTCCACTGTAAATAATGTGTGGTAAAACATCTGTATGGATAGGCTGATATGAAGCACTTTATTAAGTTTTGACCTTGAACTTTGACCTAGGAAGTTGTACAAACATTATGACACACCCTCTGGTGTTGGTTAATATACATGTCAAGTATAAAGTATGCAATTATAACAGTTCTCTAGATATAGAATGAAAACAATATGTTATGGACAGACAGACAGACTGATCACTATAGGGCGGGGCCCTAATTATCTTATAAATTTTGATTTATATATAAACTATTTATGCAAGTGTATTTATGTGAAAAGTTGGTGGTAAATGCTTAAATTGGTGTTTAATACTTTCTGCAAGACATTTACTTTGTTTACATTATATTACACATTAATGATTTTCGATTCTAATATGACGTCCTATTATCGTCAACCAGTATAATCACAATATAACTACCTTTAGCGCAAACGCAGTAATACACAAAAACGGCTGTTCCGCGTAACGACCAATTTATTTATACTACCAGATATTCTCAATTTTCTACATCAAAACCCCAAGTTTACGTAGGCCAAGATTCAGATACAATATATTTATCTCTATTCTACAGCAAAATAAACAAATCAGTCCATTTCAATTTATTTTTCATGGTAAAATTTCATAAAATGAAAATTCCGCGAAATGATGTTATTGTCTTGGCATGGCAACGAAACAAGGTGACGTCACAAGTATGTTTTCGTAAACAAAAAATCAAATGTAAATACTGGGCGTTTTAAAGCTTCTTGTACGCCTCAGAACGAATAAAATTACATTGGAAGAAAATATATAAGTGGAAAATGCGATTAAAAAAAAAAATAATCATTGAATTATATAATATTACTAATATTATCAAAATTGGGTAAAACGGAACAGCCAAAACAATATCGTATGTATAGGGCTTTCACGGTTAACAAAATTACCGAATTTGTCCTATTAGAATCGAAATAATTCATGGCAGCCGTAGATTTTGTTTTCATTTAACCATGGGTTGGGCATTTATATTCGTATTTTACCCCTCACTAACGCTTAGGGTAAAATAATAGAATATAAATGCCCAACCCATGGTTAAATGAAAACAAATCTAAGGCTGAATTATTTCTTAATTATATACCTTTATTAAAAAAAAACTCTGCCTCAACTTGAAATCTGGTGTGATCACATAACACATACAAAATGGCATTAGTAATATTCTTAGTTCATTTTTTTGGCTCTATTAAAATCTTACCTTTCTCAGAGTATTTTCCAAGTTTAACTGAGCATGAAAACTCCCTTGCATGGGGTGGTCCCATATCACTGGAGAATTCATACACTGGTGGTTTCAGGAGGCGTTTTTGTGTAAACTCCTGTAGTTCACCTACTGGGTTCCCTGGACCATCATCCTCATTTTTGCTATTGTCACTGAAAAAATTAAAAAAAAAATTTATGGATGAAAGTTGCGTAATCAGATTTATTTTATAAAAAATAAAATTTTTGTTACTCTTTGCTTTCCACACTTTTTTCCCCCTGAAACAAGTTTTGATTACTGGTAAATTATTGACAGGTGTTCTTAGGATTCATTTATTATCAAGCCCTATAGAACATCTGTAAATCAATTATTGACCAAATAAATGGGGAATGTGTCCATGGGACACAGATGATGCCCCCGCTTGCATATTACGTTATAAAGAGACATAACTCAAGAAATGAAAAAGTGACGCTACCAAAATTTGTACTTGATCTGTGTTTTGTGATAATGAGCATTGTGTATAAGTTTCATAACATTTGGTTGAGGCAAACTCAAGTGAGAGAACGGAAACGAAAAATTCAGCAATTTTTCCATTTGTAAAGGGGCATAACTCTAGAACAGTAAAAGTGATGCCACCAAAATTCGAACTTGATCTGTGCTTTGTGGTAATTAGCATTGTGCATCAGTTTCATAACATTTGGTTGAGGCAAACTAAAGTTAGAGAATGGAAACCAATTTTGGGAGGTACGTACATACATACGTACAGACGTACAAGGGTAAAACTTAATGCCCCTCCTTGTTCAATTGAAACAAAAATTTACACAATGACATTGTGTAGTGTAAAATTTTAATTTGAAGTTCTAGGTGTAGTGTAAAATGTGAAATTGAAGTTCTGGGTAGACAAACTGATATTGTGTAGTGTAAAATGTTAATTTGAAGTCTAGGTAGACATACTGACATTGTGTAGTGTAATATGTTAATTTGAAGTTCTGGGTAGACAAACTGATACTGTGTAGTGTAAAATGAAGTTTTGGGTAGACAAACTGACATTGTGTAGTGTAAAATGTTATGGTAATTTAAAGTTCTGGGTAGACAAACTGACATTCTGTAGTGTAAAGTGTTGAATGTTCATTTGAAGTCCTGGTAGACATACTGACATTATGTAGTGTAAAATGTTAATTTAAAGTTCTGGGTAGACAAGTTGATATTGTGTAGTATAGAATGTTAATTTGAAGTTCTGGATAGACAGTCAAGGGTCTAACTTAAAACAAGTTATTACAGAAATTAACAGGCATACTGTTATTGTGGGAATTCTGACAGAGTTATCTCCTCCTGTCATGAATTACGTTGAAATAACATGTCTGTTATTGAACAAAGAAACAATGTCTGTAATAACGCTTTTCAGTTATCACAGACATTTTTGTTGGGTGAAACACAGATATTTTCAAATTTACCACTATTTTTGTTGTTGTTAAGATCTCATGTGATTTCAACTTGTTTACATTATTATTTGCACCATTTTCGATGAAACAACGTGGGCACAGTGATTACCAGGTTGTCATATTTTGATGATAACTTTGTCTTAAATAATTTTTTTTTTTAGTGGAATTGATTTAATATTTTCCAAATTTGGGATTATTTTAGCAATTCGTCAATGATACCTTACGATTAAATGGTTATTAACCCTTCAATTTCAGTTAGAATCCACAGCGCAGTGAGGAAATAAACTGAAAACATGTTTACAAACAAGATGGGTCAAGCCAAAAATAACAACATTTATTTGAAGTTCTGAGTAGACAAACTGTCATAGTTTATTATAGAATGTTAATTTGAAGTTTTAGGTAGACATGCTGATATTGTGTTGTGTCAAATATTATTTTTTACTCCTGGATAGATATACAAATGTACCGACACTGTGTAGTGTAAAGTGTTAATTTGAAGTTTTGTATAGACATACTGACATTGTGTAGCTTAATATTTTAATTTAAAGTTTACTTTTGCATAGACATACTGATATTGTGTAGTGTAAAATGTTAATTTGGAATTCTGCGTATATTGTGTTGCATAAAATCTTAATTTGAAGTTCTGGGTGAACATACCTCCATCTTTGCTATTACATGCATTCAGTGGTTGTGCTACAGAGAATTGTAACCAACATTGAGTCATGTTTTTGTTGATACAGTGAAAAAGCTCTTTGACATTTAATTTCATTGATATTGGAAAAGATAAGCCATGGGGAAATAACTCCTTTAAGGAGTTGGTTGAAAATTTCTGACATATTGACGGTTCCTCTTTATCTATTATGGTTTCAGCAAAATCATCTTTCATTGACAATAACTCCTCCAAGGGGTCAATTGAAGATTTCAACCATGCTGACTTGTTTGTTTATCTTATTTTGCTGAACATGTTGCTATTTAATATTTCTCTCTATCATAGTTTCTGCCAAAAAAAAAATCTAAAATAGTCATTCAGGGGCAATAACTCCTGAAAGGAGTCGGGTCACAATTATGGCCATGTTCACTTAGATGTAGATCTTCTTTGCTAATAACAATTACAATCGAGGAGAAGATTTTTCTAAAAGTTTATGACTAAGGACAGACAGATGATGACATAAGCCAAGTGATGGCAAAAGCTCACATGGCCTCTTGGGCCAGGTGAGCCAACAAAGATATATACGTTTGTATTTGATAAATGAGTTCTTGAATAATGAACAACAAAGAATATTGGATGAAAAATTTACAGAAAGAGTTCAGGAGTGTACTGTGAAAAAATGAATATTGGGTGGACATAAAAGTCATATTAATATCCTTATATTATAGGAAATATTATCTTATAAAGGAAATTTAGTTTGCATTTATTTTTCAACTTCTTTTTTGTTTAAGATGATATACTTTTTAGATATTAAAAGTTTATGGACTTTTATCTGAAGAGAAAATCATCCCCTAAATATATCATATCATTTTACCATTTGAATAATGAACTTTGATGTCATGACAATATCAAAGGTGCCATGAAGCAGAATATAGTTTATTTCTCAAATTACAGGGTTTTTTGTAAGAACTCATTCTACTTATTTGTAATTTGTGAATTTCCTTCCAATGTTGTCTTCTAGATACAATGTACTGACTTTTCAGGAATAACTTCAGGTGTTTCATTATTGGGTAATCCCAGTATTCTGTTTAAAGCTGCTTGAGCTGCTGCATGTTTAGCCTTCTTTTTGCTTGATCCTGAAAATTCACAGATAATATTTGGTAAATAGACACAAGAACAAACTAACTTACACACATAAATGATTTGTCTATTAATTTTGACTACTAATATTATAATTTTTTTATGATATAAACCACTATCAAACTGAGACCAGAGTCAAATGACAACTGGAAATTTACTAATTGAAAAATATGAATTTATGAAACAAATATTGTTAAGCAATGCTTTATAATTCTGAGAAAGAAAAAACGATGTGCTTACAAAGTTTACCTCATCCAGACCAATGTCTGTTATTTTAATAAAAAAAAAAGGATCAATATACCATAATAATTACCCTTATTACAGAAAAAAACATATTGTAAAAATTGGTGTAAACAGGAAAATTCTGATAAAAAATCTCATGAATTTATTCCTGTGCTCCACAGAGAGTCATATAGTAAACAATCATATCATTACCACTTCTCAGCTTAAGGCCTCTTCTGAACATTTGAAGGTCCTCATTATGTATTGATTACTGTAAATTCAGAAATTATTGCGTGCATTTATTATTGCGATTTTGTCATTTTAGACTAATATGCGATTCTAATTTTTGCGATAGTGAGAACAATCCTGTTTAATTCATATAAGATATTTCAAAATGCGAGTTTAAATTATTGCGATTATAACCCTGTCGCATTTTCCGAAATAATAAAAACATCGCAATAATTTCTGAATTTACAGTATGTATTATGCTTTAGATAAATTCATATTTTTGATGGTCCTTTTTATTCAGTTGATAAGTTTTTTTTTACGGTAATGTTGTTTACTGAGCCTGGAAATTAAGATACCATCGAGGTTAACTTATCAATCCTTTATATAAACTTATTCTGAAAGGTTACAAATTCAACACTGTAATTAGATCTTTTAATATTGTTTTTTTGGTACAAATATTATTATTAAACACATATGCACCTTCACTGTTCTACAATCTGTTGATACCTATATTTTGGAATTGCACAAGGTCATGTTTTTCTCTGACTGTTAATGAGGTTTTTACACTAAATCCATTTGATGTTGGATGTTTAAATTCCCTGCCATGTCCAGTCTGTGTTTTTGTTAGCTGTTGCTTTGTATCGATCTGATGAGTTAACATGGTTAAGCCCTTTTTAACTGATATTTTAATAGTTTGTTCTTGTGTTATAACATTGCACCACTGTCCCATGTTGGGCGGAAGGTTGGCGCCTTCAAATATGTTTAACCGTACCACATTCTGTAGATGCCTGTCCCAAGTTAGGTGCCTGTAATTCAGGTTGTCATTTTTGCTGTATATCATAATTGTTTTGCACATAAATCAGGTTTTTAGTTTTCCGGTTTGAATTGTTTTACATTTGTCATTTCTGACACTTTTATAGCTTTCTTTGTGGTATGGGTTTTGCTCATTGACAGACCTGCCAACTATCCCGATTTATGGGGGATATCCCCCATGAGAGGCGTTGACCTGAATTTTGAAATTCTTTATTATATAAACTGAACACCTCAAATGAGCTAAAAGGGAATTTAAGCACATACATAATCATTCAAACAATATGGCAGTAGATTAAGAACACTTATGACAATGTACATGTAGAATGAGCATTTGGTCCTCTTGGGACTAGAAATCCCCCATGGAGATTTTGAAAAGTTGGCAGCTATGCATTGATGAAGGCCATAAGGTGACCTATAGTTTTAACTCTACATGTACGTCAGTTGGTCTCTGGTATAAAATTGAGAATGGAAATGGGGAATGTGTCAAAGAGACAACAACCCGACCACAGAACAGACAACAGCAGAAGGCCACCAACAGGTCTTCAATGCAGCGAGAAATTCCCGCACCCGGAGGCGTCCTTCAGCTGGCCCCTAAACAAATATATATACTAGTTCAGTGATAATGAACGCCATACTAAACTCCAAATTGTACATAAGAAACTAAAATTAAAAATAATACAAGACTAACAAAGGCTAGAGGCTCCTGACTTGGGACAGGCGCAAAAATGAGGCGGGGTTAAACATGTTTATGAGATCTCAACCCTCCCCCTATACCTCTAGCCAATGTAGAAAAGTAAACGCATAACAATACGCACATTAAAATTCAGTTCAAGAGAAGTCCGAGTCTGATGTCAGAAGATGTAATAGTTGTCTCATTGGCAATCATACCACATCTTCTTCTTTTTATATGAGTTAGGTTGTTTACTATTATTTTCTATTCATTATTCCAGAAGTCAGATTGGTCAGGTTACAGGGTTTACAGACATGACAGAGAGTCTTGATACAAACACATAAGAAATAATTCATAAGGTACTCTCTAAAACTGACTTTGATACTTGTGGACATCTTGATTTATTGGCAGAATCAAGGGAGATAAATTAGAAAGGCAAACATCTATGAAACATTTCTGCCAAAACAGTTGAATCTGGGGGAACAAATTATTTAATAAGGATGATTATATGATTTTCCATAATTTATATATAAAAATAAGTGACCATCTTTGGTTGGTGGGTTAGGGTCATTCAAAAGATCCCATTGGTTAAACTAATTGAAGAGAAATTTACACATTTCAACATGTTCAATATTGGTGTTTTAACCCTGTGTCCTACTTTTGATATGACTGCTATGTTATTTGATTGGTTGGCTTTCAGGCATAATTTAAAAACAATAACAATATTTATTTTATTGTGATTACCTTTTCCAGTGGAGACTATATCCCCAACAGTTACACTCATGATAAATATTGGTTCATGCACAGCACCTTCATTAGCCATCAGATCATATTGGGGAGTGATGCCTCTTCTTGTGCACAATTCTTGAAGGTAACTGATGGGCGTTTTACCTGCTGGAATCGCCATCTAGAACATGAAGATATAGTGGTAGTTAATATGAACTATGTATAGCCTAAAAACCAAGCATAGCAGTTGTGCAAACTCATTCATGATATCATACAGCTCATTGCTGAAGGCTGTCTTGTGCCCTATGAATGTTTACATCCTGACTTTTGGTCTCTGGTGAATAGTTGTTTCATTGGTGAATAGTTGTTTCATTGGCAATCATACATGTGCAACATGAAAATAAGGAGATGTTGCACATGTATGATTGCCAATGAAACAACTATTCACCAGAGACCAAAAGTCAGGATGTAAACATTCATAGGGCACAAGACAGCCTTCAACAATGAGCTGTATGATATCATGAATGAGTTTGCACAACTGCTATTCTCCTTATTTTCATATTGAACAAACTGCTCTAAGGATATATGTTTTTCACAATTCATTTGTGCATATTTAAATGGACCCGATAAGTATTGGGAACTGTACTGTTTTAAATGACGTCACGACAAGATTAAAAAATGGCTATACGAAATAGGCAGATATGTATACCAAAGGAAATAATTAGATAATAGCGTCAAGGAAATGAATATTCAAACATAAATAGGTATGTCATACCTTAGAAAAATATCTAACAAAACAAACTACAATGTATAAACGTTGACAAGCTACACACCGACATTAAAAAGAATTTTTTAGGACATGAATGTGACCTGAACCTTGGGTAATTCCAAATGATTTAAAATAAAAATAATCCGTAACTCTATGGTCCACAAATTGCCAAAAAAATATCAGAAGGACCTAACAGCTACGGTTCGCAGCTAACAATTTCCTGCAAAATTGTATCTGATCAACGAAAAGCATGACCTTCCCGATCTCATCAGCTTCATAGTAAATCTAGTATTTTAATGAAAGCTACCAATCCCTTCTGTTAATCTGAGTCTGAGACGGTTTTCTGACTTGGCCGCATACTGGGCTGCCAAAGTATCATAATACCGCTCTGAAGTTAGAAATTATTTTCAAAACAGGATTATCTTTACACCCGTGTTCAGTGAGGGCATTTTCCCCCAGGCATATAATGAAATTGTAAAGTATGATTCAGGAAATCTTTTTGCATTGCATAACCCAAATATTTAATTGGAAACCTTCTTTTACCTTAAAATGTAAATTTAAAAAGTTATGGCACAAGCCGGAGAATGACAGGAAGTGAATTTGACATATGTCGTAAAATATGAAAATGAATAAAAAAAATTATATGGCTTGAATTTACACTTGGATCGTTAGATAAACTGTAATTTTTATTCTAAGCATATATTTTGCAAATCATATATGTTTTTCTCTCTAATAAAAAATAGATACGTAACTTTAAATGTTGTGTCGTGCAATATATGCCGTAAACTTACCCGCAAAATTTTGTTGTAAAAGCAGTCTGTTATTTTTAGAGTTTCAGTTTTGTATTCTTCATGGGAATGTAGTAGCCATGTGATTTTTTTAAAACAAAACCCTCGCTTATCTGTAGCTTCAGTTATGGGTAAACGGGACAAAAAGGATAAAGGTTATTTCTTTTTGTTATTTGAAGAATTTGGTGTTGATGCAATGATGGCAGATCTTTAATTCTTTATTTAATTTATTCACATCTTAAAAAATGACTAGAGACGTTTAAGAGCTTGATTTCTTGTGCATAATATGAGGCTGGTGCTACCTGACCGGTCACCCCTTTTTGTGAATCTAAGTCGAAGATTCATGATTTTTAAAAATATCATGCCTTACAAACTTTTTTCAGAATTTTTTTTTAAAAATATCAAGCCTTACAAACTTTTTTCAGGATTTTTTTCCAACTCCTTAAACTAGTATATTTTTAAGTCTACAATACCACATTCGGTACACTGAAACAGTCAAAATTCAAAAATAAACTGTTATATAATGCATTTATATTTCATAAAGTATGGCTTAGACGACCTGAATGCCTCATACCTGGTATACAGTAGTGTCGGGTAATTCCGTCCATCCCATTAACCAGCCCACTCCCATTTAATTCCGTGAATATTTCGTCTGCTATTTTATTCATAGGAACTGTACCGATCATCATGTGATCATTATTCCAACATTGTCCATGTTAAATGTTAAAGAAAAATCCTTTATTACGAAAATATCTAGTGATATATATAGTACAGTTCCTAAAGCTAACGATAATCTATTATTGCTTACAAAAATCATTTCTGCCTTGAAATTTATTTTTTTTCAATTGTCTGGAATCCCTTTATAAGTGGTCTATTAATAGATCACATTTTCTTTTCATAAATATACGATCAACTGGCCCTCCATACATATTACTGCCCATGGGCGGATTTACTGGACAAACACATTTCCGATAAAAACACTGATGACCCACTTATTTTGTTGATTTTAAAAATTTATTTCAGATATTTTTTGAGAAATGAGATAAACTACTCAAAATTGATTTGTCAGTGAATCGATTCATGTTAAATTTGATGCAGTTTGTATATAACTAATCGGAAATACAGTACACACAGAGAGTACTGATTCTCATACTCCAAACACTGTGTAAAAATTTGGTGTCGCACAGGAAAACTCCAGCAAAACTTTCAAAATCTTAGGAGGGAATTGGGAAAAACTTGAGTAATTCCGGCATTTAATCCCTTAATTGTTTATTACCTTGGTGTCGTTTCTCACAACACCATGATTTTTATTGCCTGTATTACCATTGAAGTGTGCCAGTAGTTGTTGACTACAATAAACATTTCTTGTGTTACCTGTCATTAAATGACAGTCACAATAATGAAGAAAAGTGTGAGATTTGTTAAATTTAATCAGACATATAATCATATATGTCTCTGATTTAATTATAGAATCCTGAACAACTTTATTCATTGAAATTATATACATTGTTGGTTTTCATACCTAAAAAACATAACTAAATCTGAATAATATTCTTTTTATATACATTAAATTTAGATAGAAACAAAGCAAAATATCACATGTATGTGGAGTATAATTATTAGAAATTAAGACATGTTTGTTTAACTGAATTTATTCAATCTTTTTCTAAATTTAAATAATAAAATTAAAGGGAAGATATTTTTTTATATATAATTTTATTTTATTCATTTTTATTTGTTTTTATCATTACTATTACATGTATTATTTTTTAAACTGACTATAAATAAAACTTATTATAAATATCAAGTTGCCATTCTTGATTATGAAAGAATGTAAATAATTTTCCAATCTAACAAGATAAACCAAAACAAATATCAATAAAATACATATTTGTATAAAAAATTAAAATCATTTCATTACCTTTTTATATCTTTCAGAAATAAAACTTAATAGGAAATAGCCGAAATAGGAAGAAGTAATAGGAATAGTTGACCTGTAATTACATGTCACTGTCAGACCATACAGTCATGATTTGTTGATTATTATTACTTTTACCTGCAATCAACAGGTCATAAAATCCTACCAGATGGGAGTAATTACTGGGAGTATTTTGGGAGAGAAACCTGTGTTTCACAGTGTGACACTGTGTTACACCAGAATCAGTGTTGGGAGTATGAGAATATGTCCTCTCTGTGTGTACTGTACATACTTGGGTTGGGTCAAACCAAAGACTTGAAAATTGGTATATTCTGCTAAATACGCATCATTAAAGAGTAAGCATGGTAAGAGCAAAGACTAGTCAGCTCATTATCAGAATAATGTGTCTGGTAAGGGTGATATGTCTTCCTGCAAAATCTTACCGAGGGAAAATCCGGATCAGTATGTCAGTCTAGTACAAAGCAGGGTTTTTGGCTCACCGTGGAACGGTGAGCTTTTGCAATCACTTGGCGTCCGTCTCTGTTGTCGTTGTTCGTCTCTCTGAAATTATACTACAAGTTTCCATACCACAAAGGGATGGTTAGGATTTGCTTTGGGGGGTTATGGCTCAAACTGTTTAGGAATTAGGGGCAAAAAAGGGGGAAAAACAAGGTTGTCCTGGTTAATGGACAAATACTTTAGTACAAAACATAATTTAAAGCAGTGTAAGGGAGATAAATCAAAAACATCATTGAAATTATCTCCCTTACACTGCTTTTAAATTATGTATAAAGTAATGGTTAATGAACAATTAAGATAATTTAAAACAGTGAAAGGGAGGTAATCCAAATACAACGTTTTGGTTACTTCCCTTACACTGCTTTTAAATTATGTTTAAAGAAATGCATATTTATAAAGGAAGACCAGTAAAAATATCTGCAAATGTTGCATTTTTTTTTTTACAAAAAAAATCTATATGAAAGATTTGACACTATATTTTAAATTCTATTATAAAATAGATTAAGTTAGCACTATAGTAAATTTAAATGGGTAATTATGGTTTCAAACTCCATTGGAAATTTGAATTGAGATTATGAACATATCATTAGGGAAAGAATTTTTTGGGGAAAAAAAGGGGGGGGGGGGTAAAAAGAAATTGTGGGGGGTCAATTTTTTCTCATTTCAGATTTCAGAAATTAAAAAGAATTATTCTTCAAATATTTTTTTTTCAAATTTCAAATATTGAAAAATTTCAAGAAGTAATCTTTAATTGCACAGTATGGCGCATTAGATTTGTAAAATCTTTGACCACATTTATTTATTTGTTATGCCGAATCTAACCGTGTATTTAGATTTTTAATTTTGGGTCCAGTTTTCAAATTGGTTTACATTAAGGTCCAAAGGGTCCAAAATTAAACTTTGTTTGATTTTAACAGGAATTGAATATATGGGGTTCTTTGATATGCTGAATCTAAACATGTATTTAGATTTTTGATTTTTGGCCCAGTTTTCAAGTTGGTCTAAATTGGGGTCCAAAATTAAACTATGTTTGATTTCAACAAAAATTGAATATATGGGGTTCTTTGATATGCTGAGTCTAACCATGCATTTAGATTTTTTATTTGTGGACCCGCTATCAAATTGGTTCATATTGAGGTCAAAAGGGTCCAAAATTAATTTTCGTTTGATTTCATCAAAAATTGAATTATTGGGGTTCTTTGATATGCCAAATCTAACCGTGTATTTAGATTTTTAATTTTGGGTCCTGTTTTTTAAAATGGTCTACATTAAGGTCCAAAGGGTCCAAAATTAAACTTAGTTTGATTTTAACAAAAATTGAATTCTTGGGGTTCTTTGATATGCTGAATCTAAACATGTGTTTAGATTTTTGATTATGGGCCCAGTTTTCAAGTTGGTCCAAGTTGGGGTCCAAAATTAAACTTTGTTTGATTTCAACAAAAATTGAATATATGGGGTTCTTTGATATGCTGAATCTAACCATGTATTTTGATTTTGAACATTGGACCATAATAGGTAATTTAAAAAAATTTGTTCTTAGACCATATTCTTTCTGTGTCAGAAACCTATGCTGTGTCAAATATTTAATCACAATCCAAATTCAGAGCTGTATCAAGCTTGAATGTTGTGTCCATACTTGCCCCAACTGTTCAGGGTTTGACCTCTGCGGTCATATCAAGCTGCGCCCAGCGAAGCATTTTATTGGTTATTATCTTGAATATTATTAATGATAAAGAAAAACTGTAAACAGTAAAATTGTTCAGCCAAGTAAGATCTACAAATAAGTTTATATGACCAAAATTGTCAATTGACCCCTTAAGGAGTTATTGCCCTTTAAGGACAATTTTACACAATTTGTTTATGATACAATGTACATGTTTTCCAACTTCAAAAAATCTTCTCCTCTGAAACTACTGAACCAAATTAAACCAAACTTAAGCTGAATGATCCTTAGGGTATGTAGAATAAAGTTTGTGTTTTATTTTCTGTTTCCTCAGAAAACATGGTTGCCATGGCTAAAAAAAGAACATAGGGTAAAATGCAGTTTTCGACTCATCTCTCAAAAACTAAAGCATTAAGAGGAAATCAGACAATAAGTTAAAGTATTCATTAGGTCAAGGCATACCTGCCAACCCTCCCGTTTTGAGCGGGAGACTCCCGCATAAATGGTGAAATTCGGGAAATCTCCCACTTGCCGGTACCCTCCCGCGTGGGAGTATAGAATCTCCCGCTATGGGATATTTTAACCTTGAATGACAAGTCAACATCAATTACATTTTTGTCTCACTGATGAGGGTTGTTTTTACCTGTAAATCACAGACCATGTGAAATTAAATGGCTTCACTTGACAGCTTGGGTGTCAAACATAGTACTA